AACTTAATAAATAGTAGTCTGTGAACGTTTACAATAAATATGCCTATATAAGATGGAGCAACAGAGAAGCAGAAACTGGTGTGTGCCTTGTGAGAACAAAGCTTCATTCCTGACCTTCTAACAATGCTATAAGAACATCATATTTTTACACATAGCATTACAGAGCATTTGAAGAGAAATTTGAATTATGCTCCAGGTTTTGAGAAAAACAGCACTTTGCAAATGCTAAGTTTCTTTGGACCAGTTTTCATGTGCTCTTATTAGTAATAAATGACTATGCCTCAAAAGAGTTATTCTTGTTCATTGATCAGTTTTTAAGTATGTAATATTTCATATGTTTGTATTTTAAAGCTGTTCAAGTGAGACAACCATTTCTATAACTGCAAAACTATATCAATTATATTATTTCTTTTTTTATTACATTTCAGACAATACTATGATTGTTTAAATATACAGAATATTTAAGGTATTATGCACAACTTTGATGACTCATTATTTATATAAAATAAATAGGTCATATGTTCTCTAGAAATAAAAATAACTTGCTCTATACAACTTTTCCTCTTATTTATTCATATTCTATTTCTGGAAAAAATTGTCAATGAATTTGAAAGAGAACAATAAGGGATATATTGGAGAATTTGGAGGGAGGTAAGGGAAAGGAGAAATGCTATAACTATATTATAATCCCCAAAATAAAAAGATATAACAATTTTAAATTGACCAAGAAAAAAAACAGGTGTTAGAAAGTATGTAGAAACCTAATTATGAACACCACCTAAAGAAAATGATTCCTTTCTTTTTAATTGCTAAGAACTTGCTTCAGGTATCATTTTTATTGTCTCTAAATCTATTTGAGTAGATGAGTTACTTACACTATGTTACTAGGTTGGGCCTAGTGCTGTGCCTCCAGCTGCAAAAGGTGGACTTGGAGGCTCTATAGAAAAAGCATCCTCTGCCTGTTTACTTATCTATAGCAAAACAGCTGTTCTGACTTCAATATTTCCTTAGAGCACCTCCTGACACAGGCCTTGGGTCAAAACTTCTAATAGCTTTTCGTAAGTAATCAGAATTTTAAAGAATTGAATTATGATTGGCATAAGATAAAATGCATAGACCACAAATGATCAGATCAATGAATTTTAACAAATGCCTACACTTGTGTATCCACCTCAAGACAAGATAAAAACATATTTCCTTTACCCTGTAAAGTTCCCCCTTGCCCCTTTCCAATAAACTTTTCCTTCACTTATCCCATAAGAAAAATACTGTTTCTGGGTTATATCACTGTACATTGAAATGGGATGTTCTTGTACTTTAGTAGAACCATACTATAAATATTGTGTTTGTCTTCCTTTACCCAGTATAACCCTATGAGTTTTCGCATGGTGCATATCTTTAGTTTCTTCTTTTGCTTGCTGAATAAAATCTATTTATGGGCTGAACTGTTTATTCAGCATCTCCTGTTAATGAGACAGGTTGTTTCCAGTTATGGTTAGTTTGGATAAGACTATTCCAAACTTTTTTTTGCATAATACTTCCTAAGTCTATCTGTGGAATTGATATTGACGTTGAAAACTTTATTTAAAAACTTGCCCAACATAATAGCACAATTATGTTCTCTCACCAGTAATGTTTAAGACTGGAAATTAAGTATTCTTGATCAAATTCTCATTCTTATGCAAGAAATTTTGGTTGTAAATTGTGTGTGTCTTAACTTTAGGGTTTCCATTGCTATGATAAAATATGACCATAAAACAACTTGAGTAGGAAAGAGTTTGACTTACTATCCTGAATCACAGTCTGTAGAAGGAAGTCAGAGCAGAAACACAAGGCAGGACCCGGAGGCAGGAGCTGAAGCAGAGGCCATGGAAGGGTGCTGTTTACTGGCTGCTTCCCATGGCTTGCTCAGTCCACTTTCTTACAGTATTTAGGATCACCAACCCCAAGGTATCCCCACCAACAGTGAGAGGGGCCCTCACACATCGATAACTAATTAAAAAAATTACCTTCAGGCTTGCCTACAGCTGGATCTTATGGAGAGAATTTCTCAATTGAGGTTCTTTCCTCTTATATGACATTAGTTTGGGTCCAGTTAACATAAAACTAGCCAGCACAAAAATATAAATAAAAAACAGAACCTTAAAAAAAGCTATAATGTGGGCTAAGGATGTGTTTGAGTGGTAGAGCATTTGCCTAGCATGAGGTCCTGGGTTTGGTTCCTTGAACCACAAAAGTGGTCATGATCTGTGTTATTATCTCTCCTGTAATGTCCAGTCTATTTTAAATCAGATGTTCTGGTATTTCATTCATCCTGTGGACATAAGTTGTACTTTCATTCAGGTTTCTCTGTGTGGTGAAATTCAACTGGTATTCTGAAAGAACAAATACCCAAAGCACTCCACAGTATTATTTACACACTTATTCTTTCTCTTCACACAGTAAGAGGGAAACAATACTTTGAAGAACATTTTATATTTTGTCCCCAGTACATTTTCAAGAGTCTCTTGTGTGGTTCCTTACAATTTTTAACAGATAGAGCTATTGTAATTATTTTCCATTATTTCCTATTAATTCACTTTGACTCTCAAATATTTAATTTCTTATCTTAATTCTTTTCTATCTTAAATTCAGTCAGATTTTTAGTAAAATATTTTCCTCAGCTTCCCATTTAATTTTACTAAGTACAAAATAGACTTGATTAAATAGTAGTTATATGTATTTACTTTATTAAACTGTTACATTAGGGATAAAGAACTAGACAATGAGAAATGTGACTGTGATTGTTTTTCTTAATTGTTACAGGAAAAATGTTATCACGTACAAGCATGCATGCATACACATACACACACACACACACACACACACACACACACACACATACATAAACACATTCTCTCTGTGTGTTATACACACACACATTCTTGTGAGAAAATGATGACCATAATTTTCAAATTATTTTCTCTACACTACCTCATTCCTGTTATTATTTTACTCCATTTATGAGAATTTAGGAGGGAAATTGTAACCTAATAATATGTATTATTGCAAGTCATGAATTATTTTAATGTTCTTAATCTAAGCTTTTATTGACTGTGCTATAAATTATATAACCCATTCCTTCACAGTTTCACAATTACAAAATCTAAAATATTATTTTAGTGTTTTAATTTAAGGAATGGCTATATGTTGTGTGACCCTACTCCTAAGAATGTGTGAACAAAATTCTAATCACTCCAGGTAGGAAAATGATGACAGACCAAAATAAGGATACCACCAAAGATTAATTGGGTGAACCAATGAGTTTTATTAGTGTTACTTATAGGACCCAAAATAACTCAAATGACAGCAGCATTAGCAAAGCTTATCCTGGCATGAGTGATAGATAGTTCATAAAAACTAGAGCCCTAAATGCACACTCAACAGCCAGCAGGCAGAACAAAAGGTTGGAGAGTAACCTTTCCCAGTGACTCAGTCTGAATGTCTTTCAGGTAGCTTGGGTGGTTTTTGCTTCTTCCAGGCAGCTGGTTTGGTCTCAGAGTCTTTGCATTCTAGCTTGCCTGATAGTGACTCTCTACGGTCTTTTTGCTCATTCTGGCCAAGTAAATCTGATTTGAGTTGTTCCTTCCCAAGCTTAAGAAAGGTATGTTCTATTTCCCTAAAACATCCTTTTATAACATCCTCAGTGCTACTGAGCTTCCTTCCAAGATGTAAGTTTTACATCTGGGAAAAAAACTGCTACACACAGCATTAAACTTATTGAGTTAAAGAAACTATTACTTTTCAAACTTCAGGGAACAAAAGCTACCTAGCAGCAACAGCATTTAGACCATGATAATCAATGACAACACACATACACAGGCATTTAGGCACAGTGAGTTTTAGTACATGGGAATAGATACTTACTGTTTACATACAATCAACCTAAATCTTGATACAATCTTCACAAGCTCTAAAGGAGAAAATATAACAATTTTATTCCAAATTTTGTTTGATCATTTTTGTTATAATATCAGCATTCAGTGTGATAATGGAGAGCTTGTATGCAACAAATGTCAAAAAAATTTTCTAATTTAGACATGTGTATAGTAACTTGTCTAGCATAAATAATATAAGGGAAAGTAAAGAAAAATAAGAAAAAATGTAGTATCTTAATTTTTAAAAAAATGTTTCCAGAACATTTTGTTGTGATATCTACTAAGAGGCCCACTTTTTAAATGCACTTAAGCTTTCTGTCATCAAGATTATGCTAACATACTTGCACAGTACTCTTTTCAGTAAAATGGATGTCATAAGTCATCATTTGTTTCAAGAGAAAGCAGATAGCATTCATTAGGTAGTTCTGCCACGCCTTTATAGAGCAATGTATATGTCCTCTAGGAACTATGCTATTTCATCCCCCTATATTTTAAACCTTGAACCCAACTCCCAAGTAACACATCAGGTAAAAAATGATCAAGACTTGTATGCAGGTGATCATAAATCTTTATCAATTCCAAAAGCATAGTTCACAGGACCGTCCCAAGGGATATGTGTACATGTAAAAGTTGCTGCTCTGGGGCAAATGCAATATTGGAGTTTTCAATGAGATATTTACAATATTTTTTTAGTTCAGATGCAGTGTGTAAACCAAGTTCATTTTTACCAAAGCAGAGTTACTAAGCAATGCTGTCACATATCACTTTATCCAATTACCACGGAAACAGAATTGAAAGCTGAAGAAGGATTAAATCCTCATACAAGATGAGTATGTTGGTACATACTCATGATACCAGAACTTGAGAGGCTGTGGCAGGTGGGTCACAGGTTCAAAGCCAGCCTAGGACACACAGCGAGAACCAATTTCAAAAAAATAAAAATAAAAACAAAACAATTGACACAGAAAAGGGAACGAGATTGTTTTAACACATCTCGGGTCATTTGCAAAAACATGAAAGTAAATAGAATTCCATAGTTTTTATATGTGATTTTTGTATAATTCTCCATTGCTTCCCTCACAGAGTTAATGTACACCGTTGAACTTGCTGGAGGACTTGGTGCTATTCTCTTGCTGCTTGTTTGTTTGGTGACCATCTATAAATGTTACAAGATAGAAATCATGCTGTTCTACAGGAATCATTTTGGAGCTGAGGAACTGGATGGAGGTAAGAGGATTTCCCTTCCTTCTGATTATGCTTGTTTCCTGCCTTCATTTTTATCCCAGCAAAAGAAAAGTTATGTACATCTTTGTGAAACAATATTTGTATGAAATATGTGTGGTAATTTAGAGTCAATAGGTAGTTTTCTCTGCAACTTGTCTAGTAACATCTACCCTTTTTTAGAATTGTATTACAAACAGCACTTACAAATTACAGACACTGATTGCAATGCTATAGGCATGTTCATTTTTCTCTCACTTTGTAATCAGTACTGAAAGGCCAGCTTTACTTTTCTATAGTAAGGTGTTTCTCTTTTAATTGTCTTCCCTAGTTGGGTAGTTTGAAGTGAATTTCAATTTGTTCTTCTTTAGTCTGATAGCTGTTTTATTAAACTGTACTGACTATTTTATCATTCTTCCAAGAAACTTGTCAGTCTTGTCCGTCTCTCTATTTTTAGAGACTAACTGTCATTCCAAGGGTAGACCAACAAAAAAAGTACAAAGCCACATTGTTTTGATAATAACACATCTAACATTTTGGCTCATACTGAGCAAGTAAACACTGTTTTTATAGAAACAGTAATTATCATTCACCTCTGGCCAGCCAAGAATGTGTGTACATCTAAAAAGAATTTAGAGTTCACAAAATTGACCTCCCACCATCATTCATTAGTGAACTTAAAGGTCCTTTGTGTTCCTTTGAGGTCATTCGGAAAACGTAAGTTAAACTTGCAAAATAGCACTTTTGAAGTCACAATGACTACTGGAAATTATTAAGGGTTCTCAGTTATATTGATAAGCATTTTTCTTTGTCAGTTTTGCACTAAGCAGTGCAAAAGAAAATGAAGCCCTGTTGCATACTTCCAGGGTCCTCCAGAGAAATCCATAGGCAGAGCTGTCAGTTTTCACACTTGTAGAAAGAGGAAGTTTATTGGCATTGCCAACAGTCCTCTTGTTGCCACTGAGGTGAAGGCTGGGCTGTAGCAACACTACTGTTTTGGGGAGTTTTCTTAAAGCAATGATTTTTAGTGGTTTTTTGTTTATATTTTCATCCCTGTTCACATAAATTAGTATATTTGGTTTCTTTCAAGAATATATCAGGAAACTGTCAATATGAGAGCAGCAATCTGTGTGCCAGGCGTCTTGAAATCATCACTACTAAGCCTCATAAAATTACAAATGCAACATTCTAATCTCCGTTTCATTTATATGGTAACCAAGGCTCTCAGAAGGTAAATAATTTCTTCAAAGTGATGATTCAAGTATTACTGCAAGTGGCCAAGTAAATCTACTTCCCCAAATCTCTATTATTTTTAAAATTTAATATACTCAGCATACTTTGAAGGCATGTTGTCGTTTGTGCCATTAGAAGTAGATGATACTTTATAAAAGCAGTTTATTTAAACAAGTTTCACATTATCTATTGTCCTGACTTTAAATGTGTTTATTTTTGTTCAGAATGATATGGATGATTTTACCTAAACCATCAATTTCTAGTGCAGGCTTTATCTGTCATTTTCTGAATGTAGAAAATTATAGAATTGAATTTAAAAAGTCAGAGCCACATTCATTTGAATTTCTGCTATTTGAAATTTATTTTGTGGAACCTTGCTACTTATCCACATTGGAGTGGGTGACTTGTATAAGCCTAATGGATTTCGGTGCTGTTCTGGAGGCTTTTGGGCCTTCTGGGTTTTGTTATTTTTTATCTTTTCTTTTCTTTTCTTTTGTATTGTTTTAGGTGAGAAGACAAAACAAAAAAAGCAACAAACAGTATTTTATCATGTTAAATTTTCCCTCAGAGAGTTAATTTCTTTTATAAATGCCCTAGGATTTATTAAAGCCTGTCCTTCAGGCCATCTCGAACATAATCAGAGCTATAAGTACTAGGGATTTCTTTCAGATGCTCCTGTGAATGCAATAAGCCCAAAGAAAGCCAAGGTAATAAACTTAATTATCATCTGGGCAAGATTAATGTACACATAATATGGCTAAAGAGAAAAAGAACGCAAAGACTGCTAAGACCGAGAGTGTTGAAATGGTTTTATGAGAAGGAATTCATACTGCAAGTGCAATGATCCTCCCTAAGCTACAACAGTCCTGATCCTGCTGATATGGTCACCAGAGCCCATCCTTAATAATCCACCTTACTACAATGGACCTGACTCCTACAACATCTAGAAACAGTGTTTCATAGGAAACCTTATTCAGTAATATAACAATGTAACCAGTTTCGGGTAGTGGTGATGGCTCGGTGGTCAATAATCCTGGCTGCTCCTGCAGAGGACTCATGCTGAGTTCCCGGCACTTACATGGTGGCTTCTGGAGAAAAAGGATAAAATCCTTACTCTGACAGATTCTACCTCATAGCATAGGTGCTGCTATCATCCCCTTACTGCCCCCCCGGTGCCCAGAAACCCCCCTCTCAGAAGCCCACATAATGTCCTAACCTTAGCGACATTTCTTTATGTCTTAAATAATTACCTAATCTTCTAAAGATGGCAACTGTGTTGGAAAATGTCCAATCCCTATATTCCTAGCTCCCCACAGTCTTTTTCCTCTGCCAGTGGTGACAATTAGTAACAGAAATGCCTTGCCATTCAGTGTTTTTTTTTTTTACTTTTAAAAAATGTGTAATTTAATGATCAAAATTGAGCCAATCTCTTCCTTCCTTCTTTCTTTCTTCCTTCCTCCCTTCCTTTTTTCATTCCTTCCTCCCTTCCTTTCTTTTTTTCGTTCTTAGACATTTTATCAATATATTGATTCTAAGAAGGAATTTTACAAAACAGTCTTAGAAGTAATAATAGGTAAAGAGCATAAAGAAGAATGTGGGAATAATGATTAGCTGGTAGGCTACTGGTACATAGTTTACTGGTAGAACACATGTCTAGCACACATAAGGCACTGGATTCCATCTAAATCACTAGTTTACTAGTCTTCTGAAGAGACAGTCTAATGTATTGGCATGATAATAACACATTCATTACTTAACGAATGCTGGATTGATTAATTCATTTTTACTTTGTCACACACAACTAGAAGGAATTTTAGCCCAAGTCTTAATGATTGCTGTCCCCAAAATTGTATTCAATGTACCAGATTGGGAAATGGAGAATTTAGAATCAGGAAACCATTAAGCCAATTTCTTTCAAGTCATTACAGTAGGTATTTCCTGACTCTATGAGTCCTATATCACAAAGGTCCTGATACAGAAGGATTATATTGTTGTAGTTGTTTTCAGGATATAGCAAGTTCATGCTTTCTTTATTTAGCTCCAACTCAACTACTCAGTCCTTCATATAAATAGCAGATTACTTGTTATCTGCATTCAAACATTGCCACTTCTTTTTTTAACTTCATCACTCCCAAATTTTTGGATATTTATTTATTATTGTCAATTGTGTTTATGAACACATAATTCTTAAATATCAGTAACCTACATATAGTTCTGTTGCTTTAGTATTACTTTATTATGTGTTGACTATTTCTTTTTTAAGATTTTATTTATTTATTATGTATACAACATTCTGCTTCCATGTATATCTGCGCCAGATCCCATAACGGATGGTTGTGAACCACCATGTGGTTGCTGGGAATTGAACTCAGGACCTCTGGAAGAGCAGTCAGTGCTCTTAACCTCTGAGCCAATCTCTCCAGCCCTGTGTTGACTATTTCTACCAGGTTAAATAACAAGCCTGAGTTTTTTGTTTTGTTTTGTTTTGGTTTGGTTTGGTTTTTTGAGACAGTGTTTCTCTGTGTAGCTTTGGAGCCTATCATAGCACTCGCTCTGCAGACCAGGCTGGCCTCGAACTCACAGAGATCCGCCTGCCTCTGCCTCCCGGGTGCTGGGATTAAAGGTGTGTGCCACCAAGGCCCAGCCCAAGCCTGGGTTTTATATTACCTGCCTTTCATGATCATTCTACATCATTCCATCTATTCCTCAGTTCTTCTCTACCTCAATGGGCATGATTTCCCCTAAATTATCATCAGTCAATACCACCTCATGCCAATCAATCTTGTGTCTTAATTGGAACTGCTTTTTATCAGGCTCCTCCACTATCTTTTGGCCTTCGTATTTTACATGTCTACATTACCTTTCACATTCTCCATAATTATATTCCTAAGTACAAAATAATTGTGACTTCAATTTCTCCAGCCTCCCACAATAAAAATGCACCGTTTTTCCTACAAGAGCATATCTGGCCATCCCGGCTCAGAAAGTAATTGCTTTGACATGGTAGATTAAGTCATGTTTGTAACATTGGCACTCCTGTAAGGTCAAAATATGTTGCAAGTATGATGACATGTTGTTTCTTGGTCAAAGACAGCTATTGAGAACTAGCCTAAGGCAATGTAATTATGCATCATTCTAAGAGTATTCTAACAAAAATGGGTATCTATAGAGGTTAAAGTTTAGAGGAGTAGTTTACATAATGTCCCACCATAATTATTACACAATAAAATGAAACTCTACACAAATTCTGCCATATGTACATTTTTTAAAATGCTATATGCTGCCGGGCAGTGGTGGCACACACCTTTAATCAGGTGGTAGAGACAGGCAGATCTCTGTGAGTTGGAGGCCAGCCTGATCTACAAATTGAGTTCCAGGCCAACCAGGATTGTTACACAGAGAAAACCTGTCTCAAAAACCAAACCAAACAAATGCCATATGCTGAGCCTGGTGGTGAATGCCTATCCCCTAGCACTTGAGAAGAAGAGGCCAGCAGATCTCTGTGAACTGGAGATCAGCTGGTTTACAAAGTACCTTCCAGATAAGCCACAGGTACACAGTGGGACCCTGTCTCATAAAGAAAACAAACAAAAATGTAAATAATTTCAAGTCCTGGAAATAAATAAGTGTTGGGTGTGTATATGTGTGTGCCAAAGGAAAGAAAGTTTTTAAAGAAAATTTCCCTTGAAGCTAATATAACACCATTCCGGAGATAGGAACTAGAAATCCAGCTGCTAACAACCAAACACCTTTTCTGGGTCACAGAAACATGG